AAAAGCTGTATTGGAAGTGGTGCACCAGGACTCAAACTGGCCCTCATATGGGATGCCAGCCTCGCAGATGGCAGCTTATCCTGTTGAGCCACAATGCCCACCCCATAGATACATAGATAGCATATGTAAAAAGGTAATTAAGGTTAAAGTGATGTCATAAGGGTCTGGTCCTAATCCATCACGACTGGTGTCCTTTTAGAAGGAGAGGTTCCAGGAAGTTGCATGCACAGAGAATAGTCCATGTGAGGACACAGAGACACTGGAGCCATCTGCAAGCCAGGGAGACAGGCTTCTGGCAACCAAACTTGCCAACAGCTTCTGTTGGGCTTTCCAAGCTTCAGAACTGTGAGAAAGCGAAGTTCTATCAGGTTAATAGACCAGTTGCGTTGTGTTTTGTAGGTTGGGCCCAGCAAACTAATAACAATTTTAATATTAAGAATGGGATTGTGTTTGCAAATGTGGATGTGGTTTGGAATTGGTATTATGTAGAGGCTAGAATAATTTTGAGGTACCTGTTGACAAAGCCAAAATTACTTCAGAGACACTCTTGGTAAAATATAGATGTTACAAGGGATTCTGGTTAGGTCTCTGATGTGGAATTCTTGCCATATCAGTTTGGGGAGCTATGTCCTAGTGTTTTGTGGAATGTGGACTCTCTAGATGACTTAAGCGTGGAATATTCAGATGTGATTTCCTCACACAGAGATGAACGTGTGGCCTGATTTCTTTGCTGATTATAGTAAAATATGAGTGGGAGAAAGAACTAGAAGGGATTATTAAAGTAAAAGACATCCAACTTTTAAAATTTGGAAAATTCTCAATCTGCTCATCTCAGAAAAAATGAACATGTATTTTCTGGAGAGAGCACTGAGTGTGTGAGGCTTGGTACCAATTAACCATTTCATCAGGAATTTTGCCAGCTGGAACTGAAACGTAAAGATATGGAGCAAAATGAAAGCAGCCTGTTCGATTTCAGGAAGTCTATAGCAATGTCCAGTTCAGCAGTCTTTCTGCAAATGTGTTCCTATTCCAGAAAAGGGGAAGACGTGACTCAGAAAGTTGTTTCCGAGATCGACAGGGCTACCATTCTTGGGGGGAAAGTGGGAAGTGTGTCTTCTCAGTTTCCTTGGACCAGGAGCCACTGCTCAAAACAATGCTGCCACGCTGGTGACCCCAGGAAGCAGGGCTTCCAACACCTTGGACCATGAGCACAGGGCACTGCGTCAGAGACGATTGTTCTTGAGACCTGAAATCTGATAGAATTTGCCTTGCTGGATTGTGGAGTTGCTTGTGATGTGTCACTCTGCTTCTTTGTGATGGATCCATTTTGGAATTGGAACATCTAGCCTATACTTGTTCCACCATTGTATTTTGGAAACACATAACAAATCTCGTGCCACGGGATCACAGGTAGAGAAGTTGGTCAAAGGATGTGTATTCTAACCCATACTTGGTATAAAGATTTACATGAAATTATAGATTTAGAGTTGACTTAGGAGTGGGTTATGGATTTTGCAACTGTTGGGATGTTGTGATTCTATTTTGTATGTGAAAAGGATGTGAACTTTGGGGCAAAAACTTTCAAAATCCTTGTATTTTTCTCATAATAAGCATTTATTGTATACTTGGAATTCAAAAAATGTTATACAAAAGTAAACTTTTTTTACATTTTATTCAAAGAATACAAACTTTATGCATTTCATATATACATATTTAGGAACATAGTGATTCTTCCCACCCTACCTCCCTCCCACTCATATTCCCACCCTTCTTCCTTCTCCCTCTCCCATTTCCATTCTTATTTTTTACAAAGATCTATTTTCAGTTAACTTTATACTCAAGATTAATCTTACACTAAGTAAAGAGTTCAACAAAAGAAAAATATAAAAAAGAAAAAACTAACAAACAAAAAGCATTGTTCCTGAACAGTGAAGACAAGGGCTGTTCAAAGTCATCACAGCATGAAGTGTCAATTTCATTCCTGTAGATTACCTTTTTTTTTTTTTTGACAGGCAGAGTGGATAGTGAGAGAGAGACAGAGAGAAAGGTCTTCCTTTGCCGTTGGTTCACTCTCCAGTGGCCACCGCGGCTGGCGCGCTGCAGCCGGCACACCGCGCTGATCGATGGCAGGAGCCAGGTACTTATCCTGGTCTCCCATGGGGTGCAGGGCCCAAGGACTTGGGCCATCCTCTACTGCACTCCTTGGCCACAGCAGAGAGCTGGCCTGGAAGAGGGGCAACCGGGACAGAATCCGGTGCCCCGACCGGGACTAGAACCCGGTGTGCCGGTGCCGCAAGGTAGAGGATTAGCCTAGTGAGCCGCGGCGCTGGCCTATAGATTACCTTTTAGGTACTCTATTAGTTACCACAGATCAAGGGGAACAGATGGTATTTGTCTTTTTGAGACTTGCTTATTTCACTAAATATAATGGTTTCCAGTTGCATTCATGTTGGTGCAAAACATTATAAAACATTTCTCAATGTTTCCTGCCTGTTTTCTAGTTGAACTGTTTTTATTTTTGCTGTTGAATTTTGAAAGTTCTTTATTCTAGATACAAGACGTGTCAGGTTTATGGCTTGCAAATAGTTTCTCCAAGCCTATTCGTCATTTTTGTCCTTTCAGTAGGGTCTTCCACAAAGGACAGTATTTGAATTTTGAGCAATACCAATTATTGATTATATCTTTTATAAATATAGATTTTGTTATCATACCTGAAAATCTTCACCAAGCACTAAAATTCAGTTATTTCCACCAATGTTACTGCCTGAAAGTTTCACAGTTTCACATTTAAATCTGTGATCCACTGCAGGTTAATTTTTGTGTGTACTAAAAACCCCATGCCTTTGAATTATGTTGCTTTATAAAGTTAGTTTGCTGTACTTGTATGGTCCTTTCCCCCATGCCTCTGCCCTTCTGGGATTCCTGAAAGACTCATTTTTGGTTTTGATGCGGGGAGGAACTTTACAAATATTTTCCTAAGAGTTTAGCTGAGCAGGGTGAAGTGCATTGTTCTCCTGTGATCATCAGGGATCTGCTTCAGAGGGGCAAGATGGAAAACTGAACAAACTGGTGTCTGACCCAGAGATCCTGTCTCCAAAGCTCACCTCCTTGTCTACCTGCATGGAGCAAGTCAAGTGCAACACTGGCTATGGGACCACAGGACCCCATGGCACCTGCCATCATTACCTCCTAGAAAGAAACAGGAGATTCTGAGGAGACAAGGTCTTGTGTCCTCTGTGTAGATGGTTGAGAAGATGATTCAAGATGCTAGGGAAAGCACCCAGGCTTCTCAGGGTGCAATGAGCCCAGAGCCAGCATTTATACCTGACTTGTGATCCTATGCATTTGAGATGCAAGACAGCACATGAAGAGCGCTGATCACTGATAGTCAGCCTGGCCACACCCTCATGCTTCAGTGCAGGAGAATCAGGATGGAGCGGGGCTGGCTCTGAGGTCACTCTACAGGAGGCTCATGGCTGGGCAGACCAACCATACCTAGCATGGCCATATAGAACTTGATGATGGCTCTTGGCTGCCTCCCACTGTCTTCACCAAGGGCTCTTAAACAGCTGAGGATAGGAAACATCTCATCTTTATCACCATTTCTGAACCCCTCAGAGACCCTAATTTTTAAGGTTGAACTGAGTATGTGGATTCCTTATCAAGAACCTGATAGGTCCTGGGCTGGTTAGACCCAGCAAAGTTGCCAAGACAGGACCTGAGGGATGTCAGCCTCAGGACTCTTATGGATACCTCCTCATGGAGACATGTCAGCCCACCCCTGATACTTCTGTTATCCCTTTCATCAGGCTAAGTGAACCAGAGCAATATAAAACATAGAAGACAGAAAATGTGGAAACACACTCCTAGAATGTGCCGGCACCTCAGGCTGAGACAGAGTTCCCCAGACCCTGCGCTCAGCATAAAGTCGTGGCCTGTCTGCAGGAGCAGAAGCACCGCTTGCCCTTCCATGCAGCTTCCCAGCCTTCCCTCTTGAGACAGCACGCAGGAGGCCCCCTGGGCTATATAGGAACCAACAGTTCACCTCATTGTCACTTACATCCTGGAACTATTTTGAATTGAGATTCAGTGCCAGTTAATTTGCAATATAATTTCAAGCCTACTACTTTCAGCTTTAATGAAAGAGGTATGAGCCCTTTAATGGAGAAAATTGGATCCTTACATGTCTTCAAATTAGAAGGAAAAACTTGCAGCAGCACCATACAGGGAACATCATCATGGTGCACCTACTGGAGATGTTACAGGGTTGCAGAGAGACCATGAAGTCTTGTGCGCTGGACACTGCTGAGTCAGCACTGGACGAAAATTAGCATGGCATGGCCACTTTCCAGTTACACAGTGACTTACCTAATTAAAATACATGTGAAAACTGAGTTGATATCTGCAGAGTCACACTTTTGTCTCAAATTGGTCAACTACACTTGCCTTGATTTTCTGTTTTTCCAGTATTGGCTCCAGATAATCACCAGAAATCACCCTTGATCACCAACAGAATGGTGCTGACGCATTGAACGGTTAGTTTACTTGTTTGGATCTCAAGCATCCTGGAACAATTGTGCGGTGCTGACAAATGATTGAAAAGAGAAAACACAATGGAGGCAGAGCTGTTGGAGCCCTGCAGTGAGTGAATCAAGGCAACTGTACCAATCTGTCTTAGTGGGGATTACCCTTACTCAGACACACGTGTGAATAAACACAGGTTTCATTTGGAAATTTTCTGTAAAGCAGTGCAAATGGTTAATTTTAGTCAGTCTTCATCATTGGTGTATTTTAAGTAATATGACATTTCCCCAGGTGCCACAGCCTCTTATCCCAAAGCCAGCGCTTTCCACCTCCCCAGACCCACACTGAGGAGGGACCAGGCCTGCCAGGAGCCTGCTTCAGGGGAGCAGAAAGGAGCCCCCTGGGGAGGGTGCCCTCTCCAGGCTCAGTTCTCGAACTCTGCTCCTGGGGCCCTCGTCTGACAGCTCAGAAGCAGCTCCCAGGAAGACATTTATAGGACACAAAGGACAGCGGGGCTCAGGAGGACCCAGAGCAAATGAGGGCTCGTGTGGGCGGTGATGGTGCGGGGCACTAGCAGCCTGGGTAGAAGCATGTGAACCTGGAGGGAGACGTCGGTCAGGCCCTGTGCAGCCACGAGCAGGCATCCCCATCTGTCTTGCCTCACCGCCCTCACCCCGCTGACGCCAGGACAGAGGGCAGCAGAGCAGAGACTATTCCAATGTAACTTCTTTTATTTACACAAACTAAGTCCCAAAGGGATGATTCCATACTCTCGCCCCAGTCCCTCCACCCGGGTGTCCTAGAGTCGCCCTCTTGTGGTGAGGAACAGCAGGGTCAGCACTTTGGGTGCAGGGCAGAGTTAGGGTCCATGTGCTTCAGGCTGCACCTGGAGGAGCTGCCCCCAGAGCCCTGGTGCCACCTAGTGGGCTGAATGATGCTTCTTCCTCCTCCTGGTGACCAAGTGGTCACCTTTCCTCTTCTGAGCCTGGGAGTTTCCCACAGAGCCCAGAGCCTGGGCCTGCCCTGCAGAAGCCCTGAGCTGAGGCACTGGGCAGGGCTTCTTTTTTGCAGGGCCCTGGCCTCCCTGGAGAGCTTGCTTCCTGGACTTTGCAGCATGTGGGAGGGGTCCCCTAGGGTCCCTTCTGTGGGTAGACAGGGGTTTTGGTGCTCTGCAAGGATTCCCAGCTCCAAGGCAGGGCAGGTCTTCAGCAGAGGCCTCGCTCCCTGCAAAGCCCAAGGGCAGCAGGTGGTGCTGGGAGGCCAGGAGGAAGGAGAGACTGGGAAGTTCCTCCTCGTTCTCACTGGAGATGTCCAGTGGTGTGTGCGGGCCCCCAACAGAGGGTCCTCCCCTGAAACTCCTGGCATCTTCGGTGGCCCCCAGTGAGGGACACTCCCGATGTCCACTAAAGACAGCATTAACCTCAGGCCTGCACAGGGGGGTGTCTGGGACAGCATGTCTCTGCAGGTCTTGGGAAGACATCGACCGGGAGAAGCACTCAGCTCTGGCCCCAAGGCGGGGGCCCTGGTTGTCACTCTCTGCACTTTGTTGGGGTCCAGATTCAGAATTGCTGGGGTTCAGTAGGGGCACACCATGACTGGGGGTGGCCCCCATGGCCCCATCCTCTTTCAAGGAGCAGTGCTTCGCCATCACCTGCAGAGGAAACAGGCCCTTAGTGGCTGTGCCAGGTGTGAGGGAGGCCAGGGAGTGCACAGCAGGTACTCGGGAGGAGGCAGAAAGGCCTGATCTCTGGGCTGGTTCCATTAGTGTGAGGGGTTCTGCCTCCACCCACGTGGGCCTCATTCTAGCCCTGTACCCTAACCTGGAACTGGCTCTTCTGTCTCCTTAACACATGTGTGCACCTGCACCCCACCCGAAGCAGCTCAAGAAGTCATTCTTCCCCAGCAGAGTAGGGGGAGACAAAGTGATCTGGGTCTGCCATGCTGGGGTCCCCCCTTCTACCAGCAGTCTACCTAGGTGCCTCTACCTGCTGTCCCCCGAACCTTGGTTCCCTGGGTCCCCTCCCTGCCCTGTCTATATGATGCCCCCCACCCCTGGTTTCCTGGCACCCCCCTGCCCTGTCTACCTGCTGTCCCCCACCCCTGGTTTCCTGGTGCCCCTCCCTGCCATGTCTACCTGCTGTCCCTGCTCTACCAGCTGACCACCTTCTGTCCTTTACCTGGCCAGCAGTCAGCCCTTCCTCCTTCTCCAGCTCCTTGGACAGGGCCGTGAGGTCCAGCTGTGGATCTGGGGAAAGCAGTTCTTCCAGGAATCTGGGGTGAATGATGGCCTCCGCCTAGAAAAGATGGAAGATGTCCATGAGCATCCTTGCATGAAGCATCTGAGATGATGGGAACTTGAACAGAACCAGAGAGCAAGGACGACCCCATCACTGTTCACACTCTGGGGTTGTAAATCAGTGGGCAGTCAGCTTCACTCACTCACTCCCTCACTCCCTCAGGAACACAAAGGCAGTGGTGAAGAACTTGAATTTGGCTTAAGGGCCTGGCAGGGTCAATATTTGGATCTTGCATCCCAGTGCTGCATCCCAGCCCACCTTGGTGACAAAATCCACTTGGGAGCATAGATGGTCAATGTAGGACAGCATTTCCGGGTCTGGGTATGAACCCTCATTCTCCAGGAAGCCTTCATCTGTGTCCTCTTCTGGGTGGCCATCGGGAGGCTCCAAGGACAAGGGTGTTGGCCCCAGCAACGTGTCCATGATTTCCATGTACTCCTTCACGGCCTCTGGCGGGATCTCCTTGGGTGTCCTGTCCTGAGGCCCCTGGTGTCTGGGTGGCACTGGACAGGCAGGTAGGGCCTTGGAGCTGGCCTTCCTGGGGGCACACCCTGTGGATGGGGAACATGGTGTAAGTACAGGGGCCCCAGTGTCATGTCAGCCGCAGTGGGGTTGACAGTTATTGGGGGATATGAGTGTTCACACTGGGCCGGGAGACCCTGACAACAGCACCGAGAGAGGAGATGGGGCCGAGAGGTGGAACACCTGAGTCACCAACACTCTGTGTTCTTATCTCCAGACCCCATCCAGGCCAGAGTTTGCTGGCTCCTTGGGAAGCTAAGGGATGAGGGGCACTATGACTGTGGCACGAAAAATCCCCAGGCGATGGCCCAAAGCAAGTGGGCCCCTGGGCTGTCCGTGGGACATTCTGCACAAAGGAACACATGTTGCTCTTGAAGGAAAGGCCCAGACGAGGGGACAACAGATCCTGGGGTTGCATTGGCCTCTGACATGGACTGTGTTGGGACAGGGGAGACTGTACCTGGCTGCTGGACAGCCACAGGGGCTGGGGGCCCTTGAGGAAGCAGTGGTGGTGAGACCGGTGGGGGCTGGCAAGGTTTCCCCTTCATCCACTCCAGCTTCTGCATCTGCATCTCCTCCTCTTCCTCAAACTCCATGAACCTGAGCGTGGGGGACACAGGCCAAACGTGAGGGGCCCACACCGACAATGATCTGGCGGCAGCTGGTGACAGACACATGCACGTGTCCCTTGGGGTCAGCGAGGCCCAAGTCTGGTCAGTCCCACAGGGGCAAAACATGCTGGGAACAGTGCTCTGTCCTGCCCTGCATGGGCAGGTGACGTGTGTCTCTGATCCCTACAGGCCCAGTTAACAAAGGCACAGCAGATCTCACCACTTCCATGCCTGGTCTGGCCCCACACAGAGCCCCAAGAAGGGCTGACTCCAGAGGCTGCACAGAAGGACATTTATCACAAGCTCTTGGGTCCTAGTTCAGAATCAGAGATCCTGAGCCCGAGACTGTGATCCTTGTAAGGGGAGCAGGGATTCGGGTCCAGGGCAGGCAGGAGGATGGGAGGCCTGGCTGAGAGGTGGGCGTGGCCTCTGAGTGCTGTGTGTTTAAACTTATCATACTGCATGAACCGGCAGAAATGCAGACAGGGCCGTGCGTCTGAGACACCAGATCCCTGAGGACACTCTGGGCTGCAGCACATTCTGGGATGGAGCTTCACCATTGAGAAAACATCTGTCCACAGCCCCCCTCTCCAGGGTGTGAGGCAGACACTCCGATGGAGGTCGTGCCGTGTGCAGAGTCCTCGTGGTGGGAGGAACCACAAGGGCTGCGCTGGCTGCTCCACCTCAACCTTGAACGTCAGAGCCTCGGTAGCTCAGACACAGATGGGGAGGACTCCCGGGGAGGAGAGCGCATGGACCCCTACATCCAGGTGGTGGGGCAGTATCCTGGGAGAGCAGGGCCCACGGAGGGCCTGTTCCAAGGAATGGCGTACATGTGCTCACACGTCCAGCCCCTCAGGCCCAGCCTCCCTCCCCAGCCTCCTCCACCACACAGCACCGGGACCCGGACTCCCAACTCACTTTTCTGCCATCTCGTAGAAGATCATGCGGTCGAAGTTGCTCTTGTGCTGCCATTCGCGCATGGCAAACCGCAGGCCCTCCTCCAGCGGCATGGTGGGCCTCCGCTGGGCCAGGGTCCGCAGCACGGGGCTGGAATGAATTCCCCGGAGTCAGTGAAAATGCACGAGCCCACCCTGCCGCCTGAGCTCAGGGCTCTGACTACTGTGCTGTGGTCTCCCCGTCCCTCTGTCCCTGTCGTGTCCTCCTCCAGTGTGGGCTCTCCTGCCTCCTGGCCACCTCTCATCTGGGGGACACCCCCTCCCAGGGCTGTGCTGGCCTCTCTGTCTCCCTAGTGCGGCGTCAGTTTCACTGTGCAGCATGAATTGGATGCTTGTGTCCCCTAAACACATGTGTGCAGGGCCTAATCCTCAGTGTGATGGGGTCTGAGGTGGTGTCTTGTGCAGTTAGGGTTAGGAGAGGTCCTAAGGCTGCAGCTCCCGTGATAGTACTGGTGTCCTGGAGGAGCAGCAAGACACGCATAGCTCTGAGACTCAGATGAGACAGTGGGAAGGGCCTGTCTCAGGAGGAGGAGCAGCCTCCCTGGAACCTGAATCCAGCCATGTCCTGTGCTCAGTCTTTCAGCATCCAGACATGACACATGGACATCTGTGGCTGGAGCTTCCCAGTGTGTGGCCTTGTGTAGTGCAGCCCAAAGGGAGAAGCGCACAGAATGATCTGACCTGGGTGCCAGGGCTCTGGTGCGGGCTCCTGGCCCCAGGGCTGAGCCTGTAACCTGCTGTATAGTTGCTGGCCAGAGGCCGCACTGGAGTTGGGACCTCAGAGCTCCTGGGAGTGGGGAGAAGGAAGGGAGCCACGCAGGCTGTGCCCTGATTAGGGGACCAGGGCTCAGTGCATGGGGACTGAGTTGGGGGTGATGTGCCTCCTGGGCAATGCTGAGTGTCCAGAGCTGCAGGGAGATGGAGACGCCAACACCAAGGCGTGGAGACTGCTTTCAGCTGCAGGCTGAGTGACGATGCGGCCAGGAGGTCAGAGGCGGGCGCGACATGGATGCAGTACCCTGCTCAGTGGAAGGTGGCTGTGTCTGTCGTGATGGTGGTAGACAGGAGGAGCCAAGCCCGAGTGGTCAAGAGAGGGGAGTGTGCCACTGCGGGGAAGGCTCCCTCTGGTTTGGTCCCCAGCCCCTGGACAGCGGCCTGCGTTCTTGCCTTAGGGGCTCAGAGTCCGGTCACAGCCTGGACCGTTGTGTTCTTGACCTCATTGCCTTTTCCTCATGACGGCATGACCGCAGTCATTTCCTGAGACAGAGCGTGTGCCTGCCTGTGCCAAGCTCAGCAGGTTCAGCTGCCGTGACCTTCAGCTCCCTGGGAACGGGTGTGAGCGTCTCCTCCCCTGTGAGGGCTCTGGGCTGTCAGTGCTGGCCCAGGACAGAGCCTCGTGCCGGGGCCCCAGCGTGGCCCTGGGTGGGTTCCCACCACCTGCTGTCTTCCTGGAAGTCCCGGGAAGAGTGAGGGCTGGGCTGTGTGTAAGACTTCCCTCCTCATCGCCTCTCACGTCAAGTCCCTGAGGTCTGTGACCCTCTGTGTATGATGCCGGTGGTGGACAGGGATTGCTGTGTGGACTCAGACTCAAACCCCACGGTGGCTCTTGTGATCCCAGGACCCTCTCTGATCTTGAGTGTTCTGTAAGGGTCACCCTGGAAATGGTGGAAATGTAAATGTTATCACAGGATAGCTAAGATCCAGTGGGGAAAGGCCCTGGAATCCTGTCACAGGCAGCATGAGGTATCATGGCTGACAATGGAACTGCATGTGGTCTCTCGATTGCCTTCAGGGTCTTCCTGTGGGAGCCCTTTTAGCCTGCGTTGCCCACCCCTGATCCCCCCAATGCTCTGCCCCAGGCCCTGGCATGGGTACTCACATGAGGAAGCAGGACAGAGCTTCTGTGTCAGGGCTCTGGGGCAGGAGCCTCCGGGCCAGGGCCTTGAAGTGCTGCCAGCGCCGGAAGTTCTCATAGACGCTGGTGGAGCTGCAGGGGTTGTCTGGTGAGGCTTGGGCCTTGGGAGTAGGCAGGATGCGCTCCCTGTCAGCCCCTTGTGATGGTGGCCCGTTGTTTGCTGGGAAGACCATCGGGGCCAGCTGGGCAGCTGGTGGTGGAGCTGGAGGAGGGAGGCCCAGAGGCCAGCCCCCCTGACTGGCCTGGGTTCCCACCATGGGAGGTGCAGGCACTGTTGCCTGCAGGGAAGACCCGGGCACTGCTATGGGAGCAGGGTTCTGCCCTGGCCCACAGAGGCCTCCTGGGGCATTCAGGCTGATTTGGGTTTGGTTGTAGACCAAGGTCTGAGAGTGGGGGGGCTCCACTGGGTGCCCTCCTGTCCTCAACTGGAATATGATGTGGACATTCCCAGCCCCAGTTGGCACAGAGCCACCATCTCCTGCCACCACGGGCATCCTGGGGATGGCAGCAGGCAGCACGAGGCGGCTGCCTGGAGGGAATGCGGCATTCAGAAGGAGTGGAGGGGGCTGCCCCCAGGGTGGCTGGGGTGCGGGGCCGTGGGTAGGTTGGGGAAAGGGCAGCAGCGTGAAGAGAGACGTGGAGGTGCCTGGGTGTGGGATCATGGCTGTTCCCAGCCCTGGAGATGCTGTGGAGACAAAGGAGAGGGGTGAATGGAAATGGGGAACCGATTCTCAATACCCTTCTCGAATACCAGTTCTCAAGTACCCGTCTCTGCCAGGATGGAACACTGAGCTTTCACTGCCCCTAGAGTCACCCAGGGTGACTCCCAGTTCTATAGTGTCTCCCACACCTGGATCAGCATTGCCTCCCTAGCGGCACTGGGCCCCTCAGTACTCCACAGCATTCCAGGGGACTTATACAGCTGTGGTGCCACGTGCCCACCTGGCCTAGGAAAAGCCAGCTGATTCACAACACCGAGCCCAGACCCCACCTTAGGCTTCTTTAACTGACACTTCTTAGTGGAACCCTTTCCATAAACCCTAGCACAAGAAGGTCAAAGGTCTGGGAAGAAATCTCTCCCTACCATGGTCTTGTGATTCATGAGGATAACCTTGTCATCTCTGAGGGTAACATCATCCTCTTAAGAGGGCCCTGCCGAAACCACAGGGAGCAGATATTAGCCGCCCCTGGTTGCAGGGCCTGGTGGTCCCTCTGGCCACGCTAGAAGCTGTGTTCCCTAGGAACAGGACTGCTAGGAGGATGTTGGTCCCTTGAGATGGTGTCCTCACACAATCAGTGATGGCTGCATAGGGTTAGAAAGTCCGCAGGGTGGTGACTGGTAGGGGTGTCTGGGAGGTGTCCAGGATTTCGTAGTTTCTAAAGGGTCAGATCAGAATTGGTTGAGGGAATGGTGACTCTCTGGGATTGTTCCTTTTGCTCTCAGTGATGGAAAGCGAAGGCTTGAGGAGTAGGCTTGAGTCAGGGAGTTGGGGGGACAATATGTACTGGGACACATCCCTGACCAGGAACCACACCGAGCCCAGTAAATGACAACAGGCACCGTGCACATGTGTCTAAGGATCAGGACCCGTGTCCTCACATTGAACATAACCTTCCTAACTGCTACTCTCCTTCCTTTAATATGAAAACAGGTGTGGTGTTTTGGCACAGTGAGTTAAGCTGCAACTTGGCATGTCCACATCCCATATTGGAGCTTGTTCTCGTCCTGGCAAACTGTACTTCTGATCCCACTTCTTGCTAATGTGAGAAGGGAGGCAGAAGCTGAAGACATAGCACATGAATTCCTGGCCCTTGTTGGAGACTCTGGCAGTGTTCTGGGTTCCTGGCTTTGACCTTGCCCAGCTCTGATTATTTCAGGCACTGGGGGAGTCAACAGTGGATGGAAGATGTCCATATCTCCCTCCCTTCCTCCCCCTCTCCCTCTCTATTTCTCTCTGCTCTCCCTCCATCCTTTCTCCTCTCTCCCTCTCTTTTTTCTCCCTCTCTCCCTCTTCCATTGCTTGTCAAGTTCCCACTGTCTCCCCTCCTCTGTCACTCTGCTACTCAAATAAATAAGCTTTGTGAAAATAAAGGTGGAAAACAGCATTCACTGAAACTTCCTGTGGAAGTCCAACCACTCTGCCCAGCTGAACCTGTCTGTGAAGTACAGACTGGAGTTCGTGCACTGCCTTCATCTTTATGGAAAGTCCTGGGCAGAGGCCACCATGAGATGTAGGATGACATGGGTGAAAGACTTGTGTTTCCACTACAGGAGGAACAATGCAGACCACTTTGGGGAAACCCCAGCCCCCTGTTGGCTGATGTTAATTGCCATTCCTGTCCTTGCAGAATCCAGAAAAAAACAACTTTCCTGGAGTGAAAGAAACCACTACTGGGCAGGAAGCAGAGAGCTGGGAGGATCTGGGCGGTGTAGGTTGGGGTAATTTCCATCCTCACTCAAGGAAGAGTGGGTAAAGGGGAAGGAGCCCAACTGATCAGTTTCATGGCTAAGCCCATTTCATCACAGCATCCTAATACCTAGGATACCCCTGTCTAAACCCTCTGAGCCATTTCAAGGGCAGGCTCCCTGTGACTGAAAGGGTAGGCTCAGCTGTGCCCTGAACCCTCTCTCTGCCTCCACTTCATCCCCGCCCATCCTCACACTACACCCCTCAGACTGAAGTGACCTGTGTCCCTGTCCTGGTTTACAGAGAATGAATCCCTTTGCTCCCGTCTCTTCTACTCATCAGTACACCTTCCTGTGGGGCATCTTGATCCACCTGTACGTGGCCAGTAGTCTCCCCAGTCAGCAGTGTCCGTTCAACATGGGCTTCCACAGCCTCCCCAGGTAAGATGTCCTTGTGGACATCCAGGGCTCTGTGTTTCCTGTACTTCAGTCCAGTCAGCTGTCCCCAGGGGGTGTGTCACATGTGAGTTCCCAAGTATGTGAGGAGTGGCAGGGAATCTGGTTAAACAGCCCCACCCCTACAGACTTACCTCCTCCTGAAGCTCTCCCCACAGGCTTGGACACTCAGCACAGCCTCCTCAATGAGAGAAGCAAGTTCAGGTCCCAGCAGTGAGCTGGCCGCTCAGGGTCCAACTGCAGCAGCTGGGGCAAGTTTAAAGGTAACAGGAATGGAATGTGGGGCTCAGGCTTCTCTGGTGGGGGAGGGGTGGCAGGAGAGCAGCCTGGGTGGGGGTGGGGAGACATTCTGAGGCTCTTGCAGTGGGGCAGAATCTCAAGTTCTCTTGATTTTGAACTGCGGCAAAACAGCTGATGTGAGCTCCTCAGGCAGTGTTAAAGTAGTCTCTGATTTCCAGCACACCGACTGTACTTGGTTCCTCCTTAACATCTGTTCCTTATCGATACACCTGCTCTTGGTTCCTAGGCCACCCTGCTTCCCACCTGTGGAGGAAGGTAGGCTCTTAGCTACACTCAGGGAGGCACTTTCTCATCCAGTTTCAGAACACATGATGTGATCAGCACAGGCTTGCTCAGGGAGAAGAGGGGACCAAGTGTCTGAAAACAGGGTACCAGCGGATCAGAGATAGTTGCAGTGTGTGCACTTCATCCTGAGGCAGGTAGTCTGCATCCCCAAGTCCTGTCCACTGCTGAAAATGCATTTCCTAGGAAAGTCTGACTTCTGATCCCCTCTGTTGGAATGCCTCTGTCCATCAAGGACTGATATTGAAGCTTACAGATGAACTCAGAATCCCCTCCCCAATGTTATATGGTACTGACAGTGTTTGTTGTGAAATGTATGCTGTTTCTCCTTTTAATGCTTTTCATTGAGTATTGTAACGTGCAAAAAGTTTTTGTATTTCAAAAGTCGAATGGAATACATAGGGATGGGGCTTCCTCCCAAGAAAGTATCCTGGTCACTATTTCCCTTCCACAGGAAATTTTTGTGATGTGTACATTTTTATCTAAAACTATACAGACAGGAGTTTTGGTTTTGTTTTCATTTAGTTTCCGATAAACAGTTAATTTTACAGGTGTGCAGAATGCATATCTGTATTACTTGTGTGGTTACTTTTTTTGGTTTGTAAGTGAGCTATCTTGAAGAAGTATTCTAAGACTCTGGGGGATGGCATTAAGTCTAGCATTTAAAAGGTCCTCTTTATTTATTGGAATAATTCGGTTTGATAACTAGCTCTTCTTCCAGAATTCTGCTGATGTGTGCTCTGGGCGACCACAGGTGATGGCTAAAGTTGTTGGGGTCAGCAGTCAACGGGTGAGACCTGGAAAGAATTGCAAATTCCAAGCCCCCAGCTCACAGCTCCCACTTGGCCTAGCCCTGGAATTGAAGTCAGCTGGAGAATAAGCCAGGGGTAGGAGCCTCAGTCCTCTGTAGCATGAACCACCCATATATTCAAGTGTCTTTATTCTTTATGCAAGCACTGGAAATAGGTCTACCAAGATGTTCAGAAGATTATAAGGGAGTAATTCAAGGAAGATAATGGTGACTGGCAAAAAAAAAAAAAAAAGTGACCTAAGGGTGTGACTTTAAAAGCGAACAAATTTAAGAGCCCTTCAAAGACTTGTATTTTTATCGTGGGCACCTTACATGGTGTTCAAACAATAACTTCATATTGGAGGGAGGGTTGATGAGGCCACGTTTTGTACTCAGGAACTTAAGGAATGCGTGTGTCTTTGTTGTAAAATTACGCATATACTACATGGTATCTTTCACTTTATGCGGTTCAAATTGTCACGATTTGGGAGGTCAGAAATTTTCAGCGAAGGCATTTGTGAATCACTGTTTATTTAAAATTCCCTGTATTATATAAATTCCCCAAGTACATTAAATGCCTTAGGAATAACTAAGAACGGAGCCAGGAGCCCGAGTCCCTCAGTGTTTCCAGGTCTAAAATTCTTGGCCAGACTGTTCTTCCATGGAACCCAGGCGGACTGGAAGAAAGGAGGCAGCGCTTGTGGGAGGCGCGGACAAGCCTCAGAGTCCTGCAGTCCGCAGAGGCTGCAAGCGCTGACCCCAGTGCAGGGGACCCCGCTCTAGGGTGCAGCCCTGGGAAGAGCCGTTCCCTGGGTGCACGTGCCTGGGTGGACGTCTGCCCTCTTCCAAACCATCAGGGGTCGTTTCAGACGCGCTAGTTAACGGAGAAACGGCCACAAAGATTCCAGGAGGACTCGCCTGGTCAGCGGAAGAACCTCAAAAATCTTCCTAGACCACACACTGCCTCCCTGCACTCCTAGCTTTGGCGCGCACTCGGCACGCATGCGCACGCCCTCTGGGCGCGCCGGCTTCCCCGCGTGCTCCAGTGGCCCTCCAACGTCTCCCAGCATCCGTTGCGGGCGTCCGACCCAGGTGATGCGCAGGCGCGAGGAGAGCGCATGCCCACGGAATCGCGGCCATGGCGGCGCCCGAGAGTCCGTTACTTAGAAGGTAATGGACCCCAGCCCCAGTCTTGCCGAGCGGTTGTTCCCGCTCTGCGGTGGGCTCACCCGTGGTCTGTGCGGCCCAGCGGCCCGCGTGTCCCGGTGGCTGCGGAGCGAGCGAGCGTTTAAACTGCGGAATTTGGCCCTGGTCCTGGCAGGGCGCTCCCGTGTCTGGCGATGCCTGAACCTGACGTGAGGGGGCTTTAGTACCGCAGGCGACCCTCCGTGTGTCCCGGCGGTGTCGCTGGCACTCTGAGCAAGGCTGAGGCTGGGGAAGCATCCTCGGGACGGAAAACCCTGATGCAGTCCAGCAGGTAGCTCGGGCTGCTGACAGTGCGTGCCGTCCTCAGGTGCGTCCTGTGTGACCTGTGGACGTGCTGCAGCTGAGGAGAAGTGGAGCACTCAGGTTCAGTACGGAGAGGTGGCAGTGATGTGAGCAGCCTGCCTCAGTTGAATAGTAAGCTTCAGTTCCGAGTCCGGTGTCACATCACGGTTGCCTGGCCTGCATGCAGGGTTTCAGCAAACATCTTGTTTGCATGAAATTTACAATAAAGGAGGTTGTACACTGTATGGTTTGTGACTTCTGTGCTGCTCACCTGTTAGATCAGTGCCACTTACTGCACACCGGTAAGGGTGTATTCATGGTTTGGGGGTCAGTGTGTGTATTAGAGCTGTAGATTTTCTTGTTTATTTGGCCATGTGAGAATAGTGGGGTGGTTGTATCTGAAAGTGTGTTGTGTTTGCGAGTGTTCTGGTCCCATACGAATTCAGGGAACGGATTTGATATTGTCTTTAATTAGGGTGTTTTTTGTTCAAGCAAAAAACAGATTGTTTTATTAGAGCAAATTATGCGTTTCAAGGACTACTTAGAAAGTACTGTAGTTAGCTTTATCAAGTAGATGTACTTGCCTGTGGCTTCTGAATCCAGTTTCCTGTAAATGTATACTCTGAGAGACAGGAGTGATGATTCAAGTGGTCGGTTCCATGCCACCCGTGTCGGAGACTTGGATTGAGTTTCTGGCTCCAGCTTTGTCCACCAGTGTTCTGTAGAACTGTCCATGCTCTTCCTTTGTGGCCTTAGTTTGAATTCCCCTAGGAAAAGACCTGGTGACAAATGAATGTAAGCTTGTTTTGGAAGCAAAAGAACAGTAGAGGAATGGGGGAATGAGCAGGGATTGCAAAGGATCAGTTATGAGCCCATAGTTTAGCAAATTTCCTCTTTAAGTAATTAGGGTTGATTTCAGCTGGGAAACTCTGGTAGCCAGTGCAGCAGATGGGCCTCAGAGTTATCCCAACCACAGAATGAGAAAGCTACCGCAGTTATCTACCTGCTCCTGCCCATCGCTGGTGGAGAGCAGCAGGGGATCAAGAATGAAGAGTTAGTTGTCTGGTCCTTTCATCCTTTCCTGTTCAGGCAGCTTGAGCTCAGAGGGATTTGAGCTCAGATCCCTCAGGAAAGAGGTATGGGAGCTGACAGTATGAAGGTGGCCAGCACACCTACACTGATACAGCTGGGAGAGACACAGGTTTCTATGATGGAATGTAGGTGTGCTTGAGGTGGGTCAGAGAAGCTTCCTTCCTGTCTCTTGCCACCTCTGTGTTCACTGGCATTAGGTTGCTAGCTTGTAGTTGGTATACTGGGATATTTAAATCAAGTAGACATCACCAATCAAGACTTTGTTATATCCCCAGGAGGAATATTATGAAACACAGACTGCATGGCATGGGTGCACACACAGACACACACAGAGCTGCATTTGGACACAAAGTATACTTTTAGGTTTGTTGCCAGCTGACCAGCAGCTTATCAAAGCATAGCTTTATTTGTGTGTGTGTGTGTGTGTGTGTGTGTATGTGACAAGGAAACAGCGGGCTGCCTTGCAATAAACATCCAACATGTACAACATGAGGAGCTGGAGGCACTTCCTCTTTCAGGAGCATACACCCTAGTACATTGTATATTCCAGAACCTGACGTGCAGCTTTCCTCCTTAGTGGAGTTCTGGCCTCCTGTGAGTACAGTGTTGCAAGAATGAACCTTCCTCAGAGTGCTCTGAAAAACAGCCAGTGAGGGATGAACTCCTTCAGAGTCTCTGCTCCTGTTCCTGTGGCTCCCTCTTGAAGAAATCCTACTCTCTGGTTACAAAACCTGAGACCTCGCACTCATTCTTGAGGAGTAGGAGAGAAAGGCCATTTTTCCTGTTACTCTTTCCAGATGCCTGGGATGGGAGCATTTTCCCGTTGAGGGACACACTTTAATGCTACACGATTAAGTCAGCAGGAGCAGTTCACAGACCCTTAGTAACATGAGAAGGCATTTGGAAGTGGCCTATGAATGTGTAAGAGCTTAGATATCACACAGAGTCGTGAGGATATCTGTTGATTGGTAAGGGTAGGCTCTGCAGCTTCTTCACTTGGGTGTGGTGAACCTAAGGATTAACACTCATATTTTTTTAAAGATTTATTTATTTACTTAAAAGTCAGAGTTACACAGAGAGAGGAGTGGCAGAGAGACAGAGGTCTTCCATCCGCTGGTTCACTCCCCAGTTTGTTGCAACGGCTGGAGCTGTGCCGATCCAGACCCAGGAGCTCCTTCAGGTTTCCCACGTGGGTGCAGGGGTCCAAGGACTTGGGCCATCTTCCACTGATTTCCCAGGCCATAGCAGAGAGCTGGATCGGAAGAGGAGCAGCCAGGACTGAAACTGGCGCCCATATGGGATTCTGGCACTGCAAGCGACAGCTTTACCCAATATGCAGAGCG